GTGAATGTGACTTCCATGACAGAAGCTGGGAACTCATATCACGGCAATATACAGTGAAGATTTTGACACGCCTACCCAACTTTTCTGGAAGTAGTCAACTCTTCCACACTCCGAACACCATAACTAATTGTTCAGTTTATTTTTATTACATTGTTTTTGTTGTTTTTAAATATGAGCTGTTTTTTTACCATTACCATTTTCATAAGTGTGAAACTTGGACACTGGTAGAATGTAATTCCACATTAGATTTGTTTGTTTGATATATAACGCACAGTGATACAGTATTATCAAATAAAGAAATCTAATATTACCATTTTCTCTTTTGTCCTTGTTTTCACTCCACTCAGCTGCTCTCCACTGCTTAGACTTCTAGTCTGTCTGTAACTTTTCGAGTTGCTAAACAGTTGCTCCCATAGGCTGTCCTCCAGTGCGAAATGACACAGGTATCCTGAAACCATGTATATTGTTCAAGTTCGCTACCGTTAACGTTCTCACCTTATTGGAGATCGGACAACAGGCAAGTTTGGCTGACTTTAGAAAGCTTCGCTTCATCTCGGAGACCCGCATACAAGATGGCAATGAAGTGCTTCAAATTAGTTCCCCATCTGTCGGCTCGAAAAGTATGTTTCACGTGCACTTATCCGAAGACCCTGTAACATCGGCAACTGGCTTCGCTGGTATTGGTGTCTCACTAGGCGCTCGAGTCGAAGCTGCACCACTTGACTAGATTCCCGTCAACAGTCGTCTGTGTCGTTAGTCTAACAAGTTCATCTTGAGTAAGAAATGACTGGCAAGAAAAACTGTCTCTTTGTCATCTCTGCCTATGCTCCGATGGATTGCAGCCGGGATGCAACCAAGGATAAATTCTACCATCAGCTGACTTCCTCAACCAGGTGCGCTCGACAAACCGTAGTGTTAGCTGGGGACTTGAATACGCAGGTCGGGCGTCTGGGGTCAGTAGAGAGTTGTTTAGGTGACTAACGAGGACTGGTTAGCCGCAGGTTGGATAATGAAGATTGTCTTCTACAGCTTTGCTTGGCTCACAACCTATTTCTAACGGCACCAAATTCCAGCACAGACATCGCCGTTGTGCTACTTAGCGTCCTCCCTCTGTCACTCAATCCTGGACTAAAATAGATCATATCGCAATCAGCCACCAGTGGCATGGGGGCATATAGGACTGGCGCTCCATTCGGAGTACTTATCTGAACTCTGGTCATGCTTTATTGTGCGCTAAGCTCATCTTGCGTTGTGGTGGTAATCAAAACTCGTCCTAAACAGGTTGGTCCAAGCAAATCAGTTGCACCTAACATTGCAGTTAAATACCAGTCGGAGCTAGATTTAAGGCTAGCTACCGATCCTGCAGAAAGAGTAAACGAGGATTCTCTGCACCTGCAAGATCCCATGAAAGGGACGAGCAAAGCCACTTACGGCTTGAAATGAATTTCCGTAGCTAACATTGGATCTCTTTAAGGTCCTTGCAGCTTCTTGACACCCATTGGACCGTTCTGGTGGATAGCCAGTACGGTGGTTTGCGTCTCTTACGCGAAAGATTACACTGGGATCGCGAGGCTTGGTGGTCAGAACGCGCGAGTGAGGTGGAAATAGCAGCTGCATTTCCCAGTAGTTGGGAGCCGTTCTAGCTCATCTGAGCCTGTTGTCAGTGAGACAGTCTGAGGTGGATGGTACGCCGATAAACAATCTTCAGAGACACCTGGAAAGCTGGACTGAGCACTTCGAGAAGCAGTTTAGATGACCCACTGCCCCAGCATCTTCAGTTTCAGTGTATCATCCTTCATAGTCACTTAATATGGACCCATCTAGCGAAGCGGAGGTCCATAGGAAACTCCAGGTTCTGGAACACCACAGGGCACTCGGTGCAGACAACTTACCCCTAACTCTTTCTAAGGATGGCGGAACGACTCTAGTCAAGGAGCTGACTAAATTGTTTGGGAAGGTATGGCAGACTGAGGGTGTTCCAACACTCTGAAATGAGGTCATAACTGTGCCAATATTTAAGATGGTCTACGTAATGTATGTGAGAATTATTGAGGTATCAGTCTAATACCAGTCACGTCGAAAATATTGGCTGCAATCATACTTCACAGACTGCGAAGCACGTGAGAAAATGACTTGCGATGAGCAGACCAGATTTTGTTCAGGTCGTGGGTGCATTGGCAATGTATTAGCCCTCTACCAGGTGCTTGAACATCGCCAGACTTGTTGGAGGCCAGTAATCGTTGTGTTTCTTGACATTATGGCTGCTTTCGATTCGTTGGACTGGTCTGGACTCCAGGATTGTTTGTTAAAGAGGGGCATGCCTGCGGAATTTATTGACATCTTGAAAGCCTTTCATAATAACATCTAAGGTAGAGTAAGGGCATACAACCACTTTTCTCCATTGTTCGAAACCACTAGTGGGTTAGGCAGGGTTGCCCGATTTCCTCATTGACTAGGTGATGTCAGTTTGACAACTACATTCGGGTCATGTATGCGTGCCTCATAGACAGCATATATCCATGGCTAGAGATTCCTGAGTTCTAGTGAGCAACGCTTCCTGTCCTACTCAGCTTAGAGTTCGGATGTTGAAAGCTCCCGCATGAAATCAATAGTGAAGCGTAAGGAGACAGAACGAGGTTTCTATGGCTTTGATCATTCTCAGTGGTCGTAGAATGAGTGGCTGGTGACGATTTAAGAGACTTAATATTACTATCAAGAGGTGAAGGCAGAGGAGAAGATAGAGTTGAGGAGGATAGGTTCTTTTTGATTGGGTCTTGTGTCCTACTGAAAGTGTGTAGGTAGTTGACACTTTTCGGCTGCCCTCAGCGTGGAAAACTGTTTCTTCTTTAGGTATCTGGAAGAGAAAAAAAACTTGTGACATTAGAGCCCACGGAAAATCTGCTGGGGGCCTGTCACAGCCTTTTATGGGTTGTTGTAACACCGGATATAGAATACCCATACCCAGAGCACCGGAAGACTGTGAAGCAGGGAGAAGTGTGCAATTTTTTGGGTTGACATTTTCTAACACTCCATTTCAATTGGGAAGGCAGCGTGGCACTGCTAGTCACCCGAGCGAAGCACCTTACTGCTGTCACACTCCATCCTGCTATCAGCAGTACGACTTCGCCCTCAGATTCACATCATAGTGTAGTTATGTACACTGCAACGGTAACTGCTTTTTTTCTTACCACTACCCAGCAGACCTTAATGGGATAGTAGGACCTCGATAGAACAAGCGTTCCAGACAGTTTAGCTCGAGTCATAGTGTTATGCAAGCCTGCCTACCACGTCGACGAAGCAGCTGTCTGCCCGGGGCCTAATGGATAGATAGGTAGAATGAAGTACGGTCTCTAGCAAAACTATACGTTCAGGTTGCGATATTTTCCAGTTACACAGAGATGAACAAAAGGAAATACGAAAATATTGTTTGAGGATAACAAATAAATGAAGATTCATAGTATATTCGAAATTGGAAAGATGGTAAAGAGTGAATACATCCATAGCGTTATGATCTGTCCTAAGTGACCCCACCAGGTGACTTCAGTTATCGATCCCAAACACTTTGGGGACTACACCCGGATAACCCAAGATCCCATACACATATATATGACTAGTTTAATTACACTGTGCGGTATCAAGTCACTTGAATCCCATGTACAAAGTTGGTGGTCTATGGGCATAAATGCACTATGTACTTAACACTGTCTAAACGTAAAGTAACCGCAGTGTTCGTTGCTGATAAGAATATATATATAAGTAGTATATGTTGAGAGGGCTGTAGAAACCATAGGGAATTACCAGCAATGGATTAGAATTCTGCCCAGAAAACCGCAAGAGACAATGCGGATGTATTAAGAGCAAATCAAGAGAGAAGGAGAAGAGGAAATGAAGCACATTATGCAAATAACTGTCTTAGTGCAAGGTCTACCATATTTAACGACTACCACATGTAATAATCGACTAGGCTAACTTGAACAAAAGATATTTAGCAGCTCTCTGTAATTGAATCACTTGTCTCCATAGGACTGCTAAAACTTGATAGGAACAATACAAGTAGAACCTGCATTTGATGACCTATGCTTGGTCACTTTGGATATCATTGTTTATTTGACACATTGATCTTATTACATCAGCTGGTTTAGCAGATCCTGTATTGTGTTCTCATGTTGCCAAGAGTTATTTGACTGTGTAGTTTGACACGTTATCCGTATGCCTTTAGATTGAAGCAGATATCCTTTGTGTTGCAAATTCCTCTTATTTCTCATCTTATGCACTAACACCAGCTAAAGGTAGTGGAATCATTTTACGTATTCGTCATGTGACCACTTTTCATCCTAATTATTGCAAGTCTCGCTTGCTTTTTCTTTATATCTTTTGCATCATTTGTTTGACTGTTCTTTTGGTGTGCAATTCGCACTGAGTATATTTCAGATAGATAATAAATGGTTAAGAACTCTAAAGCAATGTAATAGAAGTTAGCAACCACATTTCTGCAGTAAATGACTGGTCACATATGTCAAGAGAGCCAACTGTACAACCTGGTCACCCAGGCTGAAGTAGGTGAGATTTGATTCGAACCCGAAACTAATCGATCCAAAGGCAAGTCCTCAAATCAGTAAGCCACACATATTCACGACTTTTCTGAGCAGTTTGTCGGTGAGCTGGGTGAGTGATAATTGAAAGATCCTCCTCATTGATCGTTCTTAGTTATATATCAGATGCAGACATAACTTTGATTTGATCTTAACAACTGTTGTAACAACGATAGAAATGGAAAACATTCATTGTCATCAGCCAAATACAGATTCATTTATTATGTTATTATCCGTACATATTGTTTTAAGACTAGTAATGCTATCTGAATTCTCAATCATCTCAGTAAATGAGTGTAGTGTTCAAAGTGACCACCCACTGATTCGTATATCATTGTCTAAACCACCAAGATGAAGCTTCACAAGTATTGTTTTGCATCTTGTTTCATTTACGATTTCTTTTCATAGCTTTCATTCAAAAAAGGCGATGTGCTAACAGTGGAGCAACAGTTGGAGGGTGGTTGGTGGGAAGGCAGCTTTAATGGAATTGTTGGCTGGTTTCCAAGCAATTATGTAACCTTTGCTGCTGTTAGTACAGGTAGGTGCGACCGGTCTTTGTCCAACTCTATTATCTACAATCTCCCTTGTAGACGAAGAGGTCAATTTGAAAACTGATGAAGGTTTGTTAATTCACCTACAGAGCTTTCAGAAAGAAGTAGGAGAATAATATTTTTCTTCTTTCTGCTCTCTTCACCTTTTAGATTATACAACATATTCTTGAAGGTGAATTGAGACAGGTCAATGAATTATCCCAATTGTTGTCAATTTTCCTGATTCCCCTAGAACCTCTAATCCACTTGTATGTGTCCGTTGTTTTAAATTTTCGATTGCTTTCCATACTTTTAGATCATTTTTGCACAAACTTTTTCATTTAAGAGATTTATTGTCCCAAGCGATTAAGACACATAAGCATTTAGCCTCAGTATTGAGTGAATTGAAATGGTATGTTTGTGTATTCTTACTTACTCTTCTCTGCACCGTTTATTTTTTAATGGTAGTATCCAGGGTCCGAAACGTGTGGGTCTTTTGTTTCTCCGTTTCGCTCCAGCGATCAATGCCATTGGTTGTGATTATTCAAAAATATATTTGCATGTGATAACGGGATTGAAAGAACATATGTAAGTTACTCTTATCATCTTTCGTGTAAAAGGATGTTATCTTTTTTAAATTCACAGCTTTTGGTGATAGCTGTTAAAGGACAAGTACACAAGACAGAGGTGCTTACTGTTATGGATAATTTGTTTCGTTCTGGTGAAATGTGCTATTAAGTCTTGCTAAAAGCTATCCACACCTGTAAGCATGTTTAGTCCTTTAATCTAACAATCTGAATATTTAATGATCGTTTCGCTTGGTTAAGACTGAGCTAATCCACGTCGTTCCTCAACTAAACGACCTCTGATGGGGTCACGAGTGCATACTCCCGAGGTGTCCCAAGCTAGGATGAAACAGCTGTCCAGTTTTCCCAAGTCTTAAGTGGTTCTCCAACTCATGTTAGTTCAAGGTGTATACCACCCTAAAATGAAAAAATCCCCTCAAACCTTCAAATTAAATTAATCTTTAGTGCTCATTAGTGACGCACTTCAAGATGAACTTTTCTGAAGTTGTGAGAAGTCGTGATCGATGGGGCAAACCAAGTAGGATGTGAGGACAAATGTTCAACGATGGGGTTGGATGAGGGTCGTTCTATATGGCAAATTGACAGACTGACTTCGGGACTCGATGATAACATACCTGTCAGTAGAGTTGAAGGTTCTGGGTTTGATCCCAGGCGGTGTCAAAAATGCGGTCTGCTAAAGAGTCCCACAATTAAACGAAACTGCTGTCCGTTGCTCCTAGGTTTTCAATGGTTCTCCAACTAATGTCAGTCTGTTATGAATATCAACTTAGAATCCACTACTAATTTTGTTATACCTTGTTTAAGCACTTGACTTACAACAGTTGGTGCATGTGTACAAACTTTGTTACACCTATTTCAGGAGTTTGACGACAGGTTGGCATATCATAAGTCTTGTTAGGTAGTTCATCCGTATTCGCTGAAAGACGTCCACCCTGTTGATTTCGGTAGGGAGTAATTACGTGTACGCGACCAGAGCCATGTCACCTAGATTCTTTAATCACCTATTCCTGAAATCTCAACCGTCAGCCAGCCTGGGTTTCTTTGTACATTTCAGATCAACAGTTGATAACTTCATAGATCAATACCTCATTTTAGTCTAGCGAAAGAGGCAGTCAGTATTAATAGGACTTGGTATTACTGCGTACCATTCCAAGTTGCCGCAATTATCAGCACATTAGACGGGAGCGCACTTAAGTGAACGATAAATAAGAAGGCAGTCAAAAAGCAGTAGAAATTCGTGATAAAATAACAAGCAGGAATGGTGAAAAATATTGAATTAAGTATGATGATTAAAATAAGGATAAAGTGTATATGCTTCTGCACCAATGAGATCGATTCTGAGCCATATCACCTAGAGTATAAAACCCACTGGGTTATGTTTTCACGTGGGCTCCACCGAGAGGCTTAAGCTTTCCTACATGACTCAGAACGACAGTCAAAGCCTTCATGGACTGATAATATGTTTTTAGTCTGGCCACATATAAGCTTTTTCCAGCCTGTAACTAACCACCTAACATTGTGAGACAAGGCAGACGGTGACTAGACATGTCTAGCAATATGCTCTAGCCACCTGCTTCGATGAAGGTTCAAAACAGCATCAACTGACTTCTCTATCGCTGACGTGGTGACACCATGACACATGCACTGTGCTGTGAATTCAACGGTGACGGAACACCTGATGCCTTCTCGTCTTCACTACTTCTAATGACCATGCTTAACAGCCACATAGTTGGACAGAGAGAACTGTAGTGCAGTAGAACTTACCCTCAACAGGTCTGTCAGGGTAGAGCTACAGATGACCATTTCACCCTTTGATATCCATGCCGAGATTTCGTCGGTCACTCACTCACCAGAGTTGATCTGACGTCCCACGTAAGTGAAGTGGTCAACACACTCAACAACTTCAACACCGATTGTTAGCCGGGGAACGGCTGAAGACCAGTCGTGCAACAGTAATTTGCATTTCGATGGTAATACAGAGGTGATGAAGATACCCGACCACCACCAACAACACCAAGAAGCACCAATCATCATCAACGGGAGAAACCTAAAGGAAGTAGTCTCTTTCACCTACCTAGGCAGCATAGTTTCAACTACAGGCGGCACAGGTGCAGATGAGGATGTCAAAGCCAGGATCGGAAAGAAAGCAAGACAGGCCTTCCTTCATTAATCTGAAACCAGTGTGGAGATCTACTGCACTCAGCACAAAGAACAAGATCCGGATTTTCAACACTAAATCAGTCAAGCCAGTGCTTCTGTGTGATGGTTCAGAGACTTGGTGCGTTGTGAAAAGCATTTCCAACAAACTACAGACAGTCATCAACAGCTGCCTACGCCCGATGCTGAAGATCAGATGAGAAGGGCAGTAAGAATAAGCAACAAGGAACTCTGGCTTCGTAACGAGCCAACCAACCAAGAACGTATTGTCCAACGAATATGCAGAAGAAGAAAGTGGAGATGGATTGGATTGGACATACACTGAGAAGACCGATTGGGGACATCACACGCCAGGCCAGTCCGTCGAGTGGAACCCAAAGGGGAAACGATGAGTTGGGCGTCCGAGGTGAGGGTGACATGGAGGAGATTATGTGAGGAAGAAATGAAAGCTTGTGGGCAGTCATGGAGCCAGGTTGAAAAGACTGCAGAGAACAGAGTGCAATGGAGATGTGCTACTGAAGCCCTCTGTTCCACCAGGAACCCAAAGGACAAATAATAATAATAATACATCCCGAACATTCTTGAATTGCTAATAAAGGTATGCAAAAGACTGTATTTTATCAACGTCTTCACTTAACAGGACTACGTCGCTGCTTACTTTTGATCTACTAAGGATTTTCCTGTAATTAGATCAATCGCTGTGATTTCAAACGACGAGAGGAAGACCTCTATGAGTGCGTCTATGAAAAAGTTTGATAAGATGAGACAGATTGGGCATTGTTGACGGACACCACTGCACGTATACAGCTCATCTGATAACTCATCGTGGTTTGTAGCACACCTACAGGTATTTGAGTACAGAGCCTTCAACAGTGTGGTTTACTCACCTGGAATCCTTTTCAGTGATAGACACTGTTAGGTCTATAAACATAGCTACTGTTGTCTGTCGGCAAGTGTTAATGTTGCCAGCTAATAGACAGTAGCGAGAAGAAAATAGTAGTACACTCAGACGCAGCGTGGATGTTCGTACAGTAAGCAATAAGGCACACCTGTTTTGTGAAGGCTAGTGTTACCACCTGGTTGTTCAGGCGTCGTTAGGTGGGGCGTGGTTTGACTTACTAGTTAAAAGTCGAGTAACTAGACAAATTGGCCGCAGCTACATGTAACAGACAACAGCTGTCTAGATCTGGTAAAGAAGTTGTCTCAATGAATATGGTCTGCAAAAACTTCGATGCGAAAGGGTGAGTCGTCTAAAAACTCATATAAAAGATAACCCTTACGTTTGGTTAGGCACTGCTTCATTACCCATAGAAGTCATTATAAAAAGTTCCGTATTCTACTTACGTTTATATTTACATCACTTCACGTTCCTCTTGCTGATAATTTCTCTTCTTATTTTTATATAGTATAGAAGTTACACGACATATGGCTTCGTTCAGCGTTAGTTTTCAAATGTCCCATTGTGAGCAACAACTGGCTTTGGTATTTGAACGTCTGGGTCGTTATCCTTTGCTATTGAAAGAGATGGAGCGCTATTTAGAGGTACGATGGTGCGGTGGAAAAGCGTATTACTTACTTCTTGTGTTTGAGTTATTTAATTTGTGTATATTTCACATATTCCCTAAAACCTCATTCTGTGTTTAAGATGATCAGTAAACTTCTGTCATATAACTGATGATGGAATACAGTAATACTTATGTCTAACTATAACACGAACATACTGGTAGAAACCGAGAGTTAGTTTAAAAAAGCGGGTTTAGTGAACTTGAAAGTCTTTTGCTGTCGCTATTATTTCCACCGTCAAGTATCGAGACTTTATGCACTATTGTAGGTAGTACGGTCGAATACTTGAAGGAATTATCTCGTTAGTAGTAGTCTTTTTTAGCTTCTATACCACTAACTCAGTAGGTCATGTATGTAATTTTGCATGGTTTTACCGTTGTATTTAGTTTGACTCACTGACTAACATTTTTTTATAAATTAGAAATACCTAAATGATTTTGTTCGGTCTCCCTCTCGTCGTCTGGCTTTACGGGGATCTATATTATCACAGGAGAATCCTTGGTAGATCTGGAATGTGAGGATGACATAGTCCTGTTAGGTAAAGGCTGGCAAAATACAGTCTTTGCATACCTTGAGTGGCAATTCAATAATGTTCGGGATGTGTCTCTCGCCACCGAAATGCAAATTGCTGCTCCAGGACTAGTTTTCAGCCGTTCCCCGGTTAACAGTCGGTGGGGAAATGGATACAAAAAGCTCGATTGGCTTTCATCAACTCATGCCATCTGTGGTACCACCGTGACATCTGACTGGTCTGGTAAGAATCGACTCTACTGCACTGCATCTCTCTCTGTTCAGCTATGTGGCTGCTAAACATGGCCATTAGAGGTATTGAAAATGAGAAGGCTTTAGATGTCCGACCATTGTTTTCCTTGTAGCATAGTTCATGTGTCGTGGTGTAGAGTTTTAGACAGGAGAGGATAGCCACTTGGTGGGGTTGTGAACCTTTATCGATTGAGGTGGTTGGGACATATGTTGCACATACATAGTCATAGTCTTTCTCGTAGTGCACTGCTAGCTGAAGTAGGTTTAGTTTGAAAAAATGTTGAAGGTTTTCAGACTAGAAGGTGGTCTCAGTGCAGGGAAACGTTCAAAAGGATGTTGTTAATATGTTAAACAAACTGGGATTATGATAAAATTTACTTTAATAGTAAATAAATTGAACTCGACTAACCAGCCTTATAGCGTTGAACTGTTGTTTTGTCAAAAACGAACACAACTGACCGTATACAGGACTTACTTCAAAACACTGATCTCTCAACCCATGCGTTAGAGTTCAATGGACTATATTTTCCAAGCACAACTCAGTTGTCACCTACTACCATTGGCTGACATATATCCTCATTCCTGTGTCTAGGTTGTCTTTTTTTCAGTCCTTCTCTAGAAAAGAAAGCTTTTTCCAAATTATCTGTGGTTGTGGCAAATTAAAATAACAAATCTGAAATGTGAATTTATTCATCTTTCAGTACTATGTGTAGATTCAGTCATCAATGAATTGTGCTTTCTTTTAAAAAAACGTTTTTTAGGAGTCACATATCGATCGGGCTGATATTCTCAATGCAATACATGTCTACGCTGAAATATCTGTAAGCTTAACACTTTCATTTTGTGTAGTATTGTTTGATTTTCATAATCAGTGAAAATTATTTCATGTGATTGGCCAGTGATATGTACGAGCGCGCATATGTAACGCAGTCCTATAGGTAGTATTCAGTCGCAAAGAAGAAAACTCAGTAGTCACGTTTCCATCTGCACTGTTTGCGCGAAACAGACGCAACTGCAGCAAATGGTCATGATTTCCTTGGACATTTAGCTTATACCTATTTCTAATAATTGTGGGTAAGCATGAAACCTTAGTGAGCAGTTCCCAACTATCAGATTGACTTTCACTTTTTATTGCAAATATATTCATTACAAATATATTTACACACAGTGATATTATTCAGTTTTGATAATTTTGCTCAAAATATTACCGAAACTAAAGAATATCACTGTGTGTAAACATTTATGACAAATATATTTATAATTAATTGATTTTCTCCACAATGCATACATTTTTCATAGATATCATTCATTTTCACTGTCTTCTACGCGAACAGCATATTGCTTTATGTGTATATTCTCCCTTCAGTTTCATTCCTTAGTATTATTTGACGTGTTTCTTACAACTTTTGAAATGCATATCCTATTTATCAGCAGCAGCGACAGTCACAATGATAAAAATAACCCTGTGTCCGAAATGCGTTTTCGAGCCATATCATGGAGATTTCGTCACCTGAAGATTTACATTTTCCGCCACCAATGCTAGTAGGTTTAACCATCTGTGTCATCAGTGGTTGTAATTTGAATATTTCTGAATCACTTTTAGGGTATGTGTAAATATTGTAATATATTGACAGTTTTTGGTACTGGGGATTTATGCTTTAAGGGTATCACATTCCAAAGTTAATCCACCCCACTGAGTTAAGAATAATAATAGGACATAGCAACTAAGCAGACTTTTAGATGAGTTTACTGTTAGGAAATATTAATTATTTCAGAACTTTAAAACACCGGAAAGAATATCGAATCCCACTTCATAAACTTGCACCATTGGCGGTCCTTTCCTAAGATCAGGTGTAGAAAAATTTATAATCACACACGTGGGGCTGTGGCTCATTGGTTCAGGGAGATGGCTTTCAACCAATAGGTCACAAGCTCTAGCCCTACTCCACCCACCAAGGTTTGGACAGCCAGGTAGCATCACTAGCCCTCACACAATAGATGTCGCTCATTGCCTACTGCACGAATGTTCACAAGGTTGCTGAATGTATTTTGATTTTGATAATTACACACATTTTATCGTTGTTCTTCATCATAAGTTGAAGTGGGTTGGATTAGGTTGAAAGAGGGTTCAGGCTTGCCACCCCAAGACTTGGCGCTAATCCATGAAGTCTCTGATTGTTGTTTTAAGCTGTGTGGGGAGATGTAGACTACTTGGGGGGACCTCCCAGATGATAGGAATCAACGGTTGAGGACCCTCGGTGACATGGCTGGAAATTGGTCAGAATGGCGCGGATCTGTTCACTCCTTGAATATTTGCACTAGCCTTTATCTTCAAATTGTTTATTCTCTCACACAACATTGTCTACCTTGATATCAGTCTACCTTTCCTTTGTATACCTGATGATTATGATGTATACCTGTGAAGTGTAGCAAATTGAAGCGCTACGTTGATTTTATCTGTCTGTCTGGATTGTCAATAAACTCGTTCTATTCCCCTCTGTTTTTGTTTTGATTTATGTGGTATCTGTCCATCAGGAGTGGCTACTATTAGTTTCATGAGAATCTGGTGTATTATCACTATTGCATTGCTTATTTTTTTCAATTTCCTTTTAGACTGTACCACTAACTATTTATAAGATAAATCAAATAAGTATTCACATCACATTGAAAGGGAGGGAGGACTACACAGGAGTTTTTTGCTCATTGATGCTCTTGTAAAACCCATTGGCGTTATGTGAATCATTGAGATCATTATGGTTAAGCCGTAAAATCGTAGACAAGAGATGCAAATCATTTTATAGTGGTATGCATTCCTAATAATTGCAGTTAACATCGTCTCATAACAGCTACGTAATAAGCAGATGGTAGTAGCTTGCTGGAGACTGCGTGAGAGAGGAATACACATTGCCGAAGACCATTGAAGAAGTGGATTCGTACACAACTACACTTGGTTGAGCACCTTTCAACTGATGTAAACAATGAAAATAATAAACTGAGGACTCCATCAGAGTAAAAAACAAATTCAAAACTAGGCCAAAAGCTTTACATTTGGACTTTGTATTTATTAATATACTCTAAAAACGTATGCTTGCAACCACAGAGATATAAATTATGCTTTCCACGTTCAATGTTGCATCATTCAGCAACACACTCAAAATCAATATGTACTTAGTAACTTTCTACACATTCGTTCAGCAGTCAATGAACCACACCTTACGATACTTCTTGACTGGGCAAACGTCGGGAGGTGGGGCGGTCTTTGAGCCCATGACCCCCTTAGTTGAAAGTCGAATGCTTAAACCAATGAGCCACAGCACCACACTCAGTGGTGTTGTAGCAACTGCGTTCCATGCATTGTGTTACTGAAGAGTGCACTTAGAACGTAATCAAACGCTGTGGTCTGTGTATTGATCTTTTTTTAATTGACAGTCTGTCACAAGATATTTTAGATTGTGATGTTAAATTGCCTAGATAGCACTACTTGACTGAGACTCTTAGTATCTCAATTCATGTTTAGTTCTTACTTTTTTCTGATATATAGTAATAAATCATTTTCACCCTTCTATTCATTTTTTCCCCTTCAACTAAATAACTTCAGGAAAGATGTGCAATCCTTAGAAAATTTAAAGAATATGATATCGATTTATTGTTGTCAAAGATAAATGGATGGCAAGGAAAAGTAAGTGGGGATACTGTTCTGCTTATTTATTTGTGTTGTTTTATTGTAGTTCTCCTAGTCTGTATATCTTTTCTTCGTCCACGTGTTCTCTTCAACATTGTTTTTTTTTCAGTGGTGTAAAATAAGTTTATGCACTAGGCTGTGGGCTGCACTTCGCGTATTTCAGTTAATGATGTATTAATTGTTACTTAGATCAAAGATGGCCGTCTGGATTCGCACCTTTTGCTCAGTATCTCGTAGTTAAATACTTAAAGTGCAGAATCGCATCTCTTCCTTTTAAATTTACTGAAACTTATCTTTCACTAAATAAACATTGGTGGTTAGTACTATATTCCTGAGTTAATCTTGTCGCCAGTTTGTTATAACATTGTCTGAAGCATTGAATTTCGCCGATTCAGTCGATTGATTTTAAAGGCCACCTCAACAACTACTGAAATAATCAACTCGGCACCTACAACTTCACCAGAAAGGTATCTTTTCGTAAAAATAAACAAACTCTAACTGACTAATTTATCAGTTGTTAGGGTGATCTTTAAAGACATTCGATTCAGTCTCAGCGCTGACCTTGCCAGTGATTGGTCTTGTGTATACTTACCCTATCCTGTATACTCGATTCACCCACACAATGAGTCATACAATTTGACCTCGCCAACCTCGTACAACCGAACGTAATGTCTAGTGCTTATTGTCCATATCTACTTCAGGCGATCTGATTCATGTGTATATACAACCACGTTAATTGACCTCAAAAAACCCAAATTTATAAAGACTAAACGATAATATAAAGCACAAAAGAAATGAGATAATGCACTATGATAGTGGATTTCACTGAATATGCATTTATTTCCAAACTATAAGTCAGTCTTACATAGATAGATGGGGTTTCAATCGAAAGCTTTTGAACCGAGCTATGGAATGATTTTACCAACTAAGTCATAGGTAAAATGACTTTTAAAACAAGCAAAGTAATAAATAACCAATGACACTTATCCGAGATTCACATTTTTCACTTTTCAGCTGATATAACAGTCAACTCTGATGAAACTTCTTATTATCTTGACTTGGATTTAGATGACTCAAACGCATACACTTTCTATCCGACTGTATAAGATCTGTAACATCCAACCATTTCATTAATTCTTTGTTTTGTCTTCCTGGTACATTCTAAAAGGTATTCCCAATGCTATTCCTTGGTTTAACAGCTTGACCTAACGTTCCATTGCCTTTTGATTGTTGATTTACCATAGCAATCGCAGTTCGCTCTGTGATGTGGCTATCACTAAACAACGTTAAGACGCTAGTTGTTTGGAGGCAGTCAGCAGGAAACCTTGAACCTAGGTTTCGGACTTGTTGGCATTTGTCAGCAAGGCGTATCTGCAACATCATCGGAACTAATGTCCCGTCTGAGATTCGAACTCGCGTCACCCAGCGTTGTAGTCAGAGAGTGGTTGCCAATGAGCTACTCGGACCGCAATCAACCTCCACCTTGCTGACTTGTGCCAACAAAAACGAAACCTAGATCTAAAGTTTCCTATCGATTGTCCCCAACCAATTTATATTTATATATATATATATATATATATATATATATATATATATATATATATATATATATATATATATATATATATATATATATAGACATCGTCCAACCCATAACTGTTACCTTGACGTAATAGTTAGGCTTGCATATCACAAATAACCCGACGCGCTATGCTGGGAGAACGATTACTCCTTTGAGATCCCACCTTATCAGAAAGGTCTGTTGGATAGAAGCAAAACAGAAATCCGTTACCGTCATGATGTAGGTAGCTACCCTGTTAATGTGGTCTGGGGACGAGGTTGTATTGCTAGTTGGATGAAGTGTGACATCAGTAGGGTGTTTTTCAGGGATGATCAGCGGTCCATGCCTATATTGCCTTCCCCGGGAGAAACAGCTTAGAAAAGACGGACCCCGAAAATGGGCCTGTGGCCTTCCGGTGCCCAAGGTATGGTTTTTTAGCCGGATTCGACACAATCAAAGTTAAATCTTAAACACTCAAAATACGTATGTGACCTACCTGAAGCAGATTTTGCGTAGTCTCCGTGGTCATTCAACACTACTAATTCAGTTTTTATTTCAGATACCTCACAAGAACTAGCCTTCTGCGGTGTGAAAATGTGGAAAGTGTCAACCACCTTCACAACTCTGTCAGCACTCAAGCTCCCACAGATCATGATCAACTTTGCACATCCTTAACTTCTAATCTACTTTCAAGTCTCTCGATCAACATTTCTACTCCATCTTTAATTTTTTTTTTCCAGCTCTACAGCTCTGGGTAACGATTTGAGTTCGCGTTACAGCATCTCTGGTCTCCTGAAACCGCGCTCCAACTTCCACACTAGGACTCTCAGTGTCCTCATCCTTCATCATACTGACCAACAAGCTTCACTAACTAAAGCTCTAGGATATCGAACCATGGACTTGTTTTATGTTTGTGAGACACATATACAAAACCTAGGTGTGGCTATTTTCTTGACCTAACCCGACCAACATGGTGAATTTGCAAAATTCACTTTTTAGTTTCTGGACATTCGATGACTACTTGTTGTTTTGCATGTGTAGAGATAGCATTGTGTCCTAAGGCAGAAAGTACATTGCTCGAGTGGATCCCAGTTACCACTGACCTGTGCGTTTTTTGATTGGTTGAGTGCATTGGGTACTAAGAAGAATGGTGGGACTCACAGTTATCTCTTTGTAGTCTGTACTTATACATTTACTGACTGCTTTGGGGATGAAGTGGAAGATGAATTCTAACGTAGGATTGTTCAGCCTTCTACTGAAAGTCAAATGTTTAGATGTGGCTGTCTTTGCAGGTGATTTCAATACACAAGTGGGTAGGCTAAGATAGAAGGGCACTTAGATGGCACTTTTTGAATCCCAACCGAACAAACAGTTGACTGCGACCACCTACTACAACTGTGCTCAGAAAGCCATTTATTTCTGGTCACCACGAACTTCAGACATTAAAAGAGACAACATCTGATGTGGCATTCATTGACCTCAAACGCACCGGTGGACACAAAGAGACCATATTGCTTTCACTTATCTTTTACGAGGATCGTTGAAGTATCGGACAAGGGTGATGCATTGGTTCTGGCACTCTTGTCTCTGAAGGAAAGCTGAAGCTGGGGGATGGTTTCGAGTGCAGCTCAATGATGAGAATTTTAAGGCTAATTTCAACAAGAAACTAGTTAAATGGGTCAGGACAACATCAACCAGTCTATTTTAAGAAGGGTGTTCAAATCTGTGGATAACCTCGTCAAAACAATGGAAAGGGTCAGTAGATCTCAGCAACTTCTTCTGTATCGGTGACTGTGTGTGAATGCGTTCCTACAGGCTCCGACAACAGTGAAGAGCGGAAGCAACTCAAGTGTAGACTGGAAAAGTGTCTACGCTATGACCATAAATAAAGGTGGAAGGCCTATGATAGATGTTAATTGGTTGAAGGCAATCGGTAGAAAACCCTGTGCCTAAGTTTCGTGCTTGCTGGCACTCGTTAACAAGGCGTGTCCGCAATCTCGAGGAAACTGGTGTCTCATGTGAGATTGGTACCCCTGTTACTCAGTGTTGCACTCAGCGGCGTTACGACCAAGCTATCCGGATCGCGATTGACCTCTTATGGAGCAGCTAATCTCATGTTTTCTAGTCCTATGTGTTGATCGAATTCTATCGATAACACTGGCTGATATGAATCCGGATCTCATAGGGTACATGGGTTTCTCTGAGACTGTAGATACGCTTTGGTGATGAGTGCTAACAAACACGAAACCTAGGTCCACAACTTCAAGTCAGTTATCCAAGGTTTTCATCTTTCTACTTATTTTTCTGCCGTTCTGTGTTATATTTTTGTAATAATTCTTGTGTTAAACAGCCTATTCAAGAACTTGGTGATCCAATTCTCACTTTACATATTCTACTGGTCAGCATACAAACGTATGAGTCACAAGTATTTCCGGATTTCATTTGTACAGACGCTATAAGGAAGAAATCACAATATTCTGTATTGGTTATTTTTCCCACATGTGTCGTCTTATTGCTGAGAACAAATCTGTTCAATGTTTATGATTACGCTGTAAGTAACGTTTGTATCTCGTGTTTTTGTTTGTTTGTATATCAGTAACGCTAAATCGAATTTTATGTCATAATATTATGAAGAACTCGTAATTCTCGATTATTACAACCAATAATTCTGAAGTTGATCTGTAGTTAGTGGAAACTAATAGTTCCTGGCTTGCATTATAATTTCATGTTGATTATCCGACTATTGAAAACCGAGTGCCACTGCTGAGTTCCGTACTAAGACGGAACGGATGTCCAGTTCTTGAAATGGAACAATCAATCTTCAATTGCATTTTGTCTTGTTTTTGACTCGTCTCTGAATCGTATCATCAGCGGAGTTATTGTTAGAGCAAGTATGCTTTCCATTGTTGGGTGACTCTATTAACAGTGATTTATTGCTCATCAACTATGTGTGAGGTATAATACGTTGGTATATGTTGAATAGATCGTATCCGTTTATATGAACATCAATTAGCAGTGAGGTTTCATGGCATATGTTTGCTCATATGAAGACATGCAGACAAATGTGGACATGAATTCGACCAGAAAAATGTAGAAATCTGCTCTGGATAGAGGAAATATAGAGAAAACCAGAAAAAAATTTTGAAGCTTGGTATTCACGTTAGTTAGCAATCAACAGACACGTTGATATTCACCCAATCTATCAATCAAGATAAGATTTCACGTCAGCAGGTCAACCAATTGACATACGTATGGTGACAATTACAAGTTTTTAGAAGAAACAACCAACCACACCCAAGGTCATTGGGGCAAGCTCTTAAGCCGATTGTGGAGAAAATCTCAGCTCATATTTTTCCAAATTTTGTGCTGATGATGTTTTCCAAAAAGAATGACACTGAAAGCGTGCTTCAGGATTAAGCCATCTAGACCAGAGAACCCAACACCCACCAATAGTTCATATAATTATTAATGAGCTGTTCAAGAAAAGCGGAAACAAGGAATAGTTGTTGTGTATCTGACAATCAATTAATTCATTTTATCTTTATGAATTACGATACCACAACCAATCATGAACAACTATCGGTTATAAAAGAAATAACCAGTTAAATATTGTCCACTTTAACATTTGTGACTGCTAAACAGTAGGCTTATAAAATATAAGGAGTGAATAGATGGCTAAGTGAATGAATAGCAGTTTGACATCCATTGACCAAAACTTATTATGAAATGTTTAACAATTTAGCCAAGTTATAGCGTCGAGTAAATGAAGTTATTTACGCGTCTGTACTTTTATAACAAGCAATTTGTTTGTTGACATGTACACTGTAGAGGCAAACGCATTCTATCTATCTTGGTTCGAAAAATACATCAGTATATATGAAATGACTGAGTAAATAATAATAATAATAAATACGCTAACAATATTAACAGGATTAAACACTTGGACTAGAGACGAATAGCGACTGTTCTCCCTCGTAACTTTATACTTCACTGAGCTGCAAAAATAACAGAGACAAAGACTACCTTGTGACTGTAAGCATGACACTTCATTCGACAAAAAACATCATTGATATACAGTTTCCGTGAACAAAAAAAACCACTTGGTCAGCTAAAGGATAAAGTTGTCGAATAAAGTTTTTCCTGACCACTCAGTGACACGAAACAAAAATTGAAATACGAAACTTCTACTTTAGCGACTGTCTTAAAATGTTGATCTCCATTTACACCGCTTCTTATCAATATATTATTCTCTTACGTATGATCGAAATGCCTGATCATGCTGTTTATGCTTTTCGATTAGAGAACTTCAAATAAATTCAAGCAATTCATCACCGTTTTTTCATCTACATACTGTGAAGATTATTCAGTACTCATCGCATATTCCATGCCATAATGTGTCATAGCTATCAGGATTGCTGGTACGAAATTTGATTGTTTTAACACTGGATAGGAAATCCATGCTAGCTGTTCGGAAGACTGTGGGGCAGGAAATTTGCTAGTTTGAGGACCAAGCTTTCCTAGCCTCCCTTCCTACATGGAAGGCTAATCAGCGTGCACTGCTGGTCATCCAAGAAAAACACCTTACTGCTATCACACTCTCTTCCAGTTAGCAGTACAACTATGCCATCATATTCTCATTACAGTGTGACAATTTGCATTACAACGGTAATTGCTTTTCGTCTTACTACTCACCACCCAGTAAACCTTCCTGGCATGGTAGCAACTACGAGGAACAAGCGTTCCAGTCGGCGTAGCTCGTCGGATCATTGTTATATATAAGCCCCACCACCATATCATGGCGGCAAGTATCGGTAAGGAGTATTTCTAGTAACCAGCAAAAACCTGAAACATCACTATGTCCCCCTGTGTTAAATATCATTGACACGAGTTTCTAATCACGAATGCTGCAGAATGTGGTGATTGAGCTTCCCTTCTGACGCAATTGTCGAATCGTTTGACAATTTTCTATCAAACAATGACGAACATTCAGTATACCTTAAACTTAAGTACCCTGTCGCTAGTCACGTATAACTTCACCACTGATTGACAAACTCAACGTAGAATCTCGCAAATATGTGCATCGGCTCAACTTGCCACACTTCACAGTAGTGCACAAAGAACAGGTAGACAGAAAAAAACTGATATTAAAAATTAACGAAGTTGTGAGTGAGAATAAACAACCTGAAGATAAAGGTTGATGCACATATTCAAGCGTCAGAAGACACCGGAGACAGAATACATCCGCGCCCTTGTGATGGATTTTCAACCATTTCACCAAGTGTCAGTCCTCAGTCACTGATTCCTTTAGTCTCGGGATCCCAACCAGGCAGTCTACATCTCCCCACAAGACTCAGACTAACAATCAGGTACTTCGTCAACCAGGGCCACAGTCTCGGTTTAGTCACCCTCAACCCTCTTCCAGTTTAATCCAACTTCTCCCACAATGGCACTTCGAGGTAGTCGGTGGCTCAGCATACACACTACATGTCCAAGCCATCTCAGTTGACTAAGGTTCACAACCTCATCAATCGACCTGCCTGTCTTACTCAATGTCCTTCGTCTGATCCAAACACTGCTCACATGGTGTGAGCAGTGCTACAAAGCCACTTATGATCAAAACTCTGTAATCACTTCCTGTCTTCTACTCTTAGCAGCCATGTCTCACAACCGTGCAATAGAACAGAATGGACTACAGCTCAGTATACTCATCCTTTGATAGATAGTCGGATATCTCGCCAGTAGGTACCATGAATGAGGCAAGTTGGTAAATGCCAAACGGGCCTTCTGTATTCGATCTGAGATTTTGTTAGTAACCAGCCCGTTCGATCTGATGCAACTGCCCAAGTAAGTGGAGTGGTTGACACACTCCTCCACTTTACTCCCTACCCTTAAACTGGGAGTGGTTGCAGACCAGTCCTGGAGCATCATCTTACATTTGACAGGTACGAGACGTATGCCAAAAATACTGAGATTTTTGTTCAACACGTTTGGGAAACCCTGCATTTTGCTAGCGTCTTCATCAGGTAAAACGAAATCTTCTGCATACCAGATGACTTCCAGAGAGTAGGTCAATCTCTGTGATGTCAGACGTTGTTATGGTTATTTCCATTAGTACGTCTATGGCGAAGTTGAGTAAGGACGAATCGATATGCCAATGGGAAGTGGTCATACCATCGACGAGTACATACACCTTTTAACGGATTCACTTCTTTGGTTTTAACAAGTAAAAGAATCCTGTAAACTGCCTGTCGATCAATTTGTATTTGAACAGATACATTGATGAAATAACTCTATACCTGTTGTCATTATTTTCTCAGTCAAGATCGCTCGTGTAACATGAACTAGTGTACAAACTTTTAACAAGTTAATTGGCTTGCCTACCTAGACTGTATTTTGTTTAACGTATAGATTACTGCGCAAAGTTTAGCTGAAAATTGTCTGAAGGCTGAAAACACTTTGGATGTAATTTGAAATACAGTTTTTGTGATAACTGTGATGCATGTTGATTAGAGTAAAAGACTAAAGGGTTGACGTATGAATTTTCATGGTGTTCTCTATTTTAAGGCTTATTCAATAGGATTGTCGAAGATTCGTACTTCAAATTAGCTTGAAACTGCAAAAAGTGATGAAGTTTCTGGATAAATAGCTGGGACGAAATCGAAATCCACTCAACAATCTTGTACAATGTGAGGGGTAAGGATACTTCTACCTGGTTGCTCTAACCGTGGTTGGTGTGATGGCGCTCGAACCCATGACCCGTTGGTTAAAAGTCAACTCCCTAAACCAGTGATACACGTGAAACGGTATGTGAAGTAGGTACAATGCCTACAGCAGGAGTCAGTCTGCAACTGGCACATACAAAAGATACAAGGATAACGAACTTCTTGTGGCAAACTTCATATTGGCGGGGAATTCGAGATGATGTTGATAAGTATGTACTCAGGTGCCCACATATACCGGTTTACGAAAAGTGATCGTTACATGTGACCATCATTGTAGTTAATTGCTGTTACTACAGTCGATGACCTGTAGACAGTATGGAATCACTTCCCTAGAGATCCAGTGACAATCAGTACCTCCCAATGATGACAACAAGTGGCACGTTAGGTAGGCCCAGTTGGAATTCCTGACCAATACCCCAAGACATTAACACAGACTGCCATTCAGAAGATTGTTGAAAACCGCGTAGTATCAAAACCTACGATGATTGAACACGGTCCATGTTTCCAGAGTGAAAAGTAACAGCTAGATATGAAGAGAATAAAATCAACTTACAACTCACAACTAATGGGTTTCCAAAAAGAAATAACCGTACTCTGAAAGACTGACTGGCCGCAAAAGTAGGTAACTGGTAAGCAGAACTGTCATTAATCCTGTTAGCACATGAAACATATATCCAATTAACAAAGAAATCGTCGTTTCACCTAATATATGTCAGAAGACCTCGACTCGCGACACAGAGTAAGACCTGGCTGCAGCTAACAAGATGGAAACCGGAACAGAGACAGGTTATAGTGATTGTCAAACTAAAATCAAAAGCAAATCTTGTCT